GCATTATAGTCAAGTTGGCTAGAGGTTCGACTTGTGGTCATCGGATCTTGCCTCACTAATAGTGAATGTCTAAGCGAAAAGCTCATAGGCAACTAGAATTTTTGCTTTCGCGGTGGTTGATTAATTTCATCATCATTCAGCGAGCGTTTACCAGCGCGGGTAGTTCATGTACTATATATCTGGACCTTGCTACAACTTATATTGAAATATGAGGAACGCGGAACAACAGAAGGTTCCGAATTGAAAAGTTCCTGTTTATGCTATAGTGGAGTTATTCTTAGATGGGACAAGTAAATTAATCAAGGACAATTAATGTGGATGTGGACAAGTAATTAATAAAAAAATCATCGCGAGGCTGATACGTCCTGCACAAAAAAAACGTAACTGGAAAACACGTGAAATATCAACCTGTCCCTGGCAGTGCGTCGCTCAGCGAAGGTACTCCTAAGCTAATATTAACAGTCATACTGTATCTCTAAAAAACTATTATTTGTCCAGTACACTAATTATGCTCCTTAAAGTCCCACGAGATTGCACTTGGGCAAATTTAATTTGCTATAAAAAAAAAAAACGTGAGAATTTCGTATTATGAACATTGAGAAAAAATAACAACAGCCACGGCTATGTCTAATCATTAAGTAAACTAATTGTGTTATTTCATAATGCACGCCATTTGAATTCGTTGTTCGACTCGAGAGAATCTGCGAAAGGGTGAGGTTGCAGATAAAGACTATATTCGTATTCTTTTTCTACTTACAGAGATAACATGTTTTTACAACGAGTCACTTCGTCTACAGTTAAGTCTGTGATCCTCTACCTGAATTGATTAGTTTTTTGCTGATTCATAGCTATGTGACCCTACAAAATAAGAGCCTAATAGGATGCATATGTGTATACAACTTCGAAATCCCTTTCTTGTTAGATTTATTTACACAACGAAGTAAAATAGTTTTTTCCACCCATCGAACTTATAGGATTAGACGACACTCCCTTGCATTTACTTTAACGAAATCACAATTCTATCGAAGAAACAGCCTTTTAAATACTGCACCCGGGTTCGCGTAGCATTTGGAATCCTACTATGTCTATCCTTACCTGACTGCCTGTCAGACCCTAGTGGTTCGTTTTTAAGTACTCGGGCGTGCGCACGGTAACGCCACAAAAAGACCTGTTCTTTGAACTATCGGAGCCACGGCACAGACGATTGCGATTTTGATAGATAAAAGATAATATACTATAGAAAACCAAAATTGTTCAGAGATTAAGGCTCGCTTAAAGCCAGGCAATGCTACAATGAAAATGTTAGCAAACTCAGATAACAAACAGTAGAATCAGGCAATAAATATGTTCAATAAACACAGAGCCATGTGCAATTTGTATACAAAGAATGCGCTATTGCTCAAAGTCTTATATCTCAAAGTTATCTTTTGTATTTTATACCACACTTCTTCTACTTTATGTACAGTTGAAGTCCTCTCCCCTTCAGTAAAGCATACGGACATCTCAGAGCGGTGCTTAATATAGTCCAGTGAAGTCACACCTCTAAGGAGTTGATGTATTAAGTGATCAAGACACAAGGCCTTTTAAGACTTTCTAGCAAATATCCCTATTCAGAAGATCTAGTTTATTTAGATCTGCATTTTTCTAAAAAAATAGGTCTCTAATATCTGATTATTTCGTGTGACCCAAAGTGACACAATTAAGAATACGTGGCAAAAGGGAACTACCTTCTATATATTCCACGAATATTGCTTACGAAAATTCGTCAAGGTAACGTACACGAAACTGATAAGTTCATGGATCTATCGCAACAAAATTAGATCAAAAATCGTTTATATTTCTATAATCTCAATGAACATAGACTTCACGCTGCAATCACTGCTCGACGGTGATTATTCAAGTTTAAACATATTTCAAACTTTCAGAATGACCCCCCCCCCCCCCTGTGATCCATCATTCAATAACGACCGTTCGAAGAGTCCTTCGAAAGACCAGACGTCCGTAAAAAGCGACTCGCAAATTTTTATAATTGATGCTCCACGAATACTTGACTATTAACGTACAATTTGAATTTATAGAACTTTAAAAATCAAAAGCGTGGGTATCTAGGACATTGGCAAAAACAGATTAGGAACCATGTTTACCTTCGCATTGACTAACAGCCCACAGTCACAGTGGGAGATGCGTCCACAGATTTGAGTGAGAAATATAATATAAAAAAAGTTGAAAACTACAAAAAAAGTCAAATGTATTTGCTTTGTAGGAAATGCTATAGGATCATAGCTATATTTTTATCGACAGTTTTCTTCAGAATTAGTAAAAATTACCACACACTGTTGCGCGTAGTGAGGCACTGGAGGTGAGCAATATTATAAAGTTTAATGTACAATAGGCGGTGTATTGCTGCTGAACTATAGAATAGACAGGTCATAGATGAAGTAAGATTCCTCGTCCGTTTGAGGTTTCTAAGTCACTTCTTCAAAGAACGTTGACGTGGCAACCATTGAAGGTCGTATTGACAAAGATTTCACGCGATGTTATCTCACTCCATTCCAACTTGGTTATTCATTGGCGTTTCCCATGACGTTGTAGCCGAGGTCTCATTATCAGAGCCGTTTTCAACCTTAGGCTCTTCTACGGTCTCTTCAAATGAGTAAAGGGAACAGCGTCCAGATGAGCAGGTCGTCATAGAGTTAGAGACGTTCTGACAATCACAGTGCTCGCTATCGCCGCTACAATAACATAACCGAAATGAGTTACATTCATGGCAGCGCCGATGCTGAGTCATCGAATCAAGCTCTGGATCCCATTTCGCGTCCGCTATCATACTCAGTGATGTCACAGCCTCCTCTGTTCGATTTCTATGTATTTTAGTGCGAGTTAGGTGGCCACCAAGGCCGTTCGAAGCAAGCTGCTTTGAATGACTACTTCGCACAGGTGTTGGTAAGCCTCTTTTCATTTCACGTAACAAGTATTTCATCTCCGAACGTATTCCTCTAGTGTCACCCACATCATACATATGAAAACCAACTTTCTCACCGCGATAGTCCCTCTCGACATCTCTAATATCACTATCGATCTGGGAGGTACCTGGCGTGACCCACTCCGTGTCGTCCTTGTCGCTAACTGTTGTAGGCTCGGAACTTAGCACAGGACAAACACTGTTATTTTCTTCACCTGCTGTTGTATTTTGGATGGCATGTTCGAATTCGCAACTCCTTTTCAGAGTTTCAATCCTTTGCTCTACTTCGACACAGCGTTGCATTATAATATGATATAGTGCGCTCATTATTTTCACAGTTTCGCTGGAAATTTCACCAGACAGAGTGCGGGAAGATGATGAGTTGCCTCTGCTTGAACAATTTTTCAAGGCGTCTTTAAGTATTGTCCATATATCTGCTTCTTGGTCAGCAATTGATGTCTTCATCCTGAAGCATATTCCACTAAAAATTTCGGCACTAGGCAAATCCGCTCAAACAGTTCAACTTCATTATTAACTCCTATCTACGTGCGGTATACGGACAATGCTAAGCGGAATAAGGCTTCGACCTCATTCTTGCGGATTGTTTTCTATGAAATATTTTATTAGATCCAAAAACTTAAACCTTACCTGATACTAACTTGATGTCAAACATAACCTTCGATAAGATTACTGCTGTGCTTGACTGTTAGGTCAAACAAATCAGGCGTCTGAAATTCTAGAGCTTTGAATAAATATTTGAACATATTGTGTGTATGGCGAATCTGACAAATTTTAGGATCCTTGTACGAGTCTCTGATTTACTGAGTAATTCTGTGTATGATTTAATCACATAATTAATATATATATATATATATATATATTAAAAACTGAATTAAAAAGAAAATAACGATAAAAATGTAGTGAAAAGTTGACATTTTTGACACTATGTTGCGGGAATACGGCTTTATAGTACAGCTACTACATATATTTAAATATGTATTATTTAAAGTTCGTTTCAATCTTCACATGCCAAACACCACAAGCAACCTTTCACCGAGCATTATGTATATCGAGGGATGTGATGATTATTGCCTTTATCTTGTATATTGTAATTAGTCTTACCATCCGTCCAGAAAGCAGCACCGCATTATTTAAATATAGGATTATTTACATGTTTGGTGTTATCTAAACAGTTGAATATTTCTTCATTATGTAGATCCAAGGGGAAACAAAAGAGGTAATAGTCTGAGCCAACAAGTTGAAACATATTGGGTAAAATAGAATATCTCAGCTGAAGTCTAGTATTTTTAGAGATATACAAAATGCGTGCGACAAAAAACCTATATTGATGAATAGACCTTCCTATTTTTTGTGCCTAATTTACTTTCATTTCAATTGCCTTGTAAATCAGAATTGTTAAATAAGTCTTGCTTACTACAGTCGTAGCCGCAGTACCGATTTCGTGACAAAGAAGTCGCTTCCGTCAGATCGCATTAATCAAATCGCAATAAAATGATAGCGTAGTCTTGCCTGGGACGAGATTTAGCAGTATGGTATTGGTTGGGGACTTTACCTGCAACATTTGCTGACTGCTTTCTTGTAAGACCATCTCGAATTTTCGGTCACAGTCGTGCGCAAAGATGGCACAATCACCTTTTGTTGATAAAAAAAAACCAAGGCATATTACTTCAAGCGATAAAAGTTAAGCTCACGAATAGCCCAAGCATCGAAAGTTTGACGTACACATCGGCATAAAATTGAATCCGACAAATTTGATCTGAAATACTAACAATGCTTATTTTTTCAATAAAAATTATGGTTTGGTCACCGCAGGCGCCTGTATCAACGTCTTAGAAGCCATGGCGAGTTATTTAGGTCCGGATAGCCTTTTAAACCCAGTCTTCTTTCTTGAAGAAATGCATTTTTTTAATTAAAGGTTTGATAATTACCGAGATCGATTCCTAAAACGTACCTTGTCGACAGTGTGCGCTCACATTTTTCCTTTTTAATTACAAATGAAAAGAAATTTATGTATATTTTCGTTTTGTTTTCCTGGTTTATTCAAACTCAATTCAACAAATCGGGGCAACTAAAAAATAATGCTTATTTGCCAACCTTAAAAGTATCATGCAGATACTAGAATACTTTCGTTTGTGGCACGCTAGAAAGCTCTTTTTGTGGAGTATGTCCGGCCTAATTAGCTAGCTTGTTCTGTATAGCCCGGTAAAATTGGATTGTGCGGTGTACCAATCACTTTTCGATAAAAACGTGCAGAAATCTTCTGGAAAGCGTCGTTAAATATATATTCACCCTGGCCTGTGTAATGTCAAGACCCGGGATTGTTTTCGCTCCCAGGGCAGCCTATATAGGACGCTAGAGAGATCCTCTCCGATAGAAGGTTGCTAAAGCGGTTGCTTTATTGATATCTATTAAAGCTTTCTGTTTGCTTCGAAAAGCGCAGCAGCCTTAGATTCAACTGCTCCTTTATAAACAACCAAATTGTAAAAGACGTCTTTTGATCGGGGCGTGTGCTATCCAAGCTATGTGTATGCATGTTAATAAATATGAGCTATATTTTTACACTCTATACGAATAATTCAATATTCAATCGCCTAATAATGAGTATGTAGTAAGATGCCTTATCGAAATTATGAAAGTGTCGTTGTGTGTGCATATATGCGCAAGCGCGTATTCTCAGTTTACTATAAAAATAGATTACTTATAGAAACCAGAACGGTAACTATCATCAGTGGTAGAAAAAAACTAATAGCAATGGAGCGTTAGATTAAGCGCAAACGCACGATGGGATTAACCCAGCGACAACTTAGCTTGTACGGTATCATCACCTTAACCGCGTCCCAATGAACGCGGGGCAAAGTTTTTGGAGAAAAACTTAGATTTTAATAGAGTTGTATCGCATAATATTTACGTTGTTTACTTTTGCAGAGATCGGTTCAGTAGTCTTATAGAAAGCTTTTACCGTAGCTAGCGGAGGCAATGAAAACATCCTTTGTACTTAGCATGATATTACTTTCTTTCCTGTGTGCAATTTTCAGTCCTCCACCGGCTGGCAATCTTTTACAATCTTACTCAAACGAAACACAAGCTAAATCATCCAATATTATCTATTTCCACGCTCCACACTAATATACCGCTGCAAGAAGTAACTTCCATCCATGGAAGACCCCCAATCCTATACAAATGAGCGAAATGCGAATCAAATGAATAAAATCTAGAGCCCGGTAGAGTCACGTTTTATAATGTTGATATTTTGTGTTTAAGCAATCTGTTCAGTAGCTTTCCAGAAAAAGAAAGTAAAGCATACTTTTTCACTACACATCGCTCATTCCCGCAAAATTGCTACAAGTACAATTCAATATTGTATTCATGTAAGTACAGTTTACTTTACAAAAAAATCACAATATACATTACTCTTATGTGGCTAAATTTTCTTGCGTGCCTACGCAATACATAGGCGTATGTCTAAGCATATCTTTTCTCTTATCTCCGTCTCATCTATTTCCATCAACCACGCCCAGAGTACCACACACACATTTGTTTGCAAATATCGCCAGAAAAAACAATGCTTCAATTGATATCCGCAGTTACGCTTAACATCACGCCATTTGTAATGAAAGGGGAAGATCCTTCGCAACAACGTTAAAAATCATCGCGGTGTCCATTTTATTTTTAGTAGTATTCTAGTTTTTCAGTTGCACTGCATTATACATTTTCATTTTTGATGGAAGTTTCACAGACCCCAGCAAATGCACGCTATTCAAAAACACACACATACGACAACACAGGGCGCATTTCAAAATTAGTTATGATAATAATGTGGTCTTGTTTACAGAGTTGTCTGAATGCGCGGCAGTCCAATTTCTTCTACTTATCGCTCTTTCAATGTTCACAATACATAATGATATAAAAAACTCATTTGTGTTTCATTGTTCTGGAAGGTTTGCTGACTCATCGTAGGTTGAAAAACCGATACATTATCCAATGATCGATCTGGTAAGTAGCCAACAATGTTCAGCTATGATACTATTTATCAAAGCTTGAAAACTTTTGCGCATACAGACGCCACACAACATTGCTTAGGGTTCAATTTCCCCCAAGAAAATCTGCTTATCGCTACCAACCGACAGCATTATTGGTTCTTTGGGGTGGAAGCGTACATCATTTACTGAGCCAAGGTGACCAGGCAATTTATAAAGAATTCGTCGCGAATGAAAGTCCCACACATAAACGCATTTGTCTGCTGAACCACAAGAAATACGCGCGTCATCAGGGGACCATGAGCAACGCAGAAGATTCTTCTCGAAGTTATGCTGATGACCCTGTTCACATAAAAACAAATAGAAAATCGTAATTAGGAAAATTGTAGTGTCTGCTACGGTATGGTCATAACTAAATAATTAATAATACGTAAGTAATAACTAAGATAAGACAACAAAGCTTTATGTTTCGAAGCCATGGAGAGAAGCAAAAATAAACCATATATTAACACATACATATTGACCTATAACATATACTTAACAATAATATTTATTTTTTAATAAAGAGGGCATATACATTATACAGACTATGTAAGCAAGCAATAAAAAAACGTCTCCAATCCATGTGACCCTATGTATCCTTAAATTTAGCAAGCACACACACTACTAGGATAAAATCATGGAGACCCTTTCGTTAACTGAATTTTTTGCTTAAACTTTACCTGATACAACGCAACACATCGCTCAGGAGGTGCATATGGTCGCACGTCCCAAACCCGTAACGTTCCATCCATTGAGTTCGATAGTACCAAACCCCCATGATGACTAAGAGCTAGACCGGTTACCGTATCTTGATGCCCGTGCATTCGGAACACCACCTGGTCTTTTCTAAGGTCCCAAAGCTTAAGCACATTATCTATGCCGCCAGTTATCACCTTTATCAGAAATAAAAATATAAAAACAATGAGAAAGCGGTTAATACGATCGTTATTTTTACAGTTTTTGAAATCAACGCCGGTGGTAAACTATCTTGCGAAAAAAAGTACCTTTCATAAAAGTCACCCAGTTCCCGCTTTCATCGAGTAAAGCATATTTTTGTTTATTTTTTTAACGTTAGTTTTAAACAAAATATAGTTACAAGCCTTACATACACGGGCGATCTTGGGACTTAAGGGCACAAGTTTAATTCTTAATGGATCCCAAAAGCTATAGATCACATACTTCTGTTAAACACTAATTTTGGCGCTGTGTAAAATCAAGACAAGGCTCTTAGTTTTTGTTTTCTTCTATATATATATATATATATATATATATGTATGTACGCTAGTCCGTCCATTTTTAATGTCATGGAGTTTTAATGGAATATTGCAAGATCTGTATACGGACCGTGCATCGCAGCGTAAAGTCATGTACGACATTCCAACCAAAAGCTGCCAATCTCATTCATCATATTCGTTGGTTCCAATACACTACTTTATTTGCAGCGCGACTTCTAAGTGCATTTTGCGGATTGAGATCGGAGTATAATAAATTATACAGAATTAGAATAAAATCACCATTTATCATTGTTGTTATTCGCTGCCAGTAACCTTTATCCCGCTAATTATAGTGCTGCTATTAAATACCTGGTCGGCTGTGTCATTAAAACTAATCGCTGTCAGCTGATAGTGGTCTTGAAGGGTTTTCACAGGTGTTTTCCTGCGGGCATCCCAAAGGCGAACTGTTGAATCATCTCCCGCCGATACCACAAGTTGAGGCCCCCGGCGTGCCGGATGTAGTGCATTCACGTATGACGTGTGACCACGTAATTTGCGGACACGAACGCCCACTTGCGTGTCCCAGATAGACAAGGTTTTATCCGTCGAGCACGTGTACAAAAATTCACCTAAAAAGTACGTTAAAATAATAATCGTCCCGCGTCCAGGGCAAAATTTGCTCAAAGTAAAGAGCAACAATTTGATCACACTGTAATAATAGTATGCAGTAGTAGATGTACTTACACTATAAATTCTCATACTAAGATATCGGCAATTGTAGTAACTCCGCTGTGATACGAACCGCCTGTAGAGAAGTGCATATCGAGTATAGCCCCTGTATGACCGGTCATTACATGAAAATTCTCACACTCGCCGAAAGTGTTCCAGAAGAATATCATCCGATCGAAGCCGGAGCTCGCTAAAAAACTGCCATCTGGATGGAATCTCCCAGAAAACAGCTCTTTTTCATGGCCTGTTAGAAGCATGATTGGCGCAGATAGACTCGATGTTCGCGCACCTTTCTGTAATTGCGAACATTAACAAACGAAGAAACGTTAATAAGTCGCTGATTTCTTAGTGCACTGGGTTTAAACATCTTGTCCTCTAAATAGCTCTGGGATTAAACATTTGAAGTCGTTATTTTCCTTATGTCAAAGTAGAATCCAAGAAGACGCGGTGATTAAGGTTTCTTTATTGTATTATGCATTCGGTCTGCACTCAATATCATTTACATGTAAATATCTGCTAGCTGCTCCTGCAGAAAATTACTTGCTTCGGATTACAGAACGTACATCTGAAAAAACCTATATTTAAATGTACTCCCCCCCAACCATACTTTAGACTTACAGAAATTTGCATTGCTCTGTTGACAGATCCGCCAATAAGACCCAATTCCGTATTTGGGCCTCTGGCTCTTTTATTAGGGGGTTCATAAGCCATCACAGCGCTTCCTCCGGCTTCTATCCTGCGCGTTTCCGCTACTGAATAGTAGCCTGACATTGTGTTTGTTTAAAAGATGACTTGATTTCAGCAACAGCCACTTACAGCCTATATGGCTCAGCTCTAGCCTGCAACAAATTTACGGATCTAGATATATATTAGTTCTATGAAGTTAAATAAATTCAAAAATTAAACTAAAACATGGTATTTCGGCGCACATATACTATACATTCTAGCCAATGATTCAAAGATGGATGCTATCAACAAATTATCAGTATAAAAGCTTACGGAAATGATACGCGGTACCAAAACACTAAATGACGCCAAGAACTACGTTTCAACAAATATTAGGCAGTAATGTATTAATTGTTTAATTAAAAATGGTACCGCTAGTTAAACCTGTTTGAAATGAGTGAAGAGAACACAATGAGACAAAATAGTTTGACTTAGCGAGTGGAGATCCAAATGAGATTCAATAAAGCTTATAAAAATTCAATAAAGTAGGAGAAAACTTAAAGAGATGTTACTTCACCGTCAGTTAACCCTGATCACATACTTTGACCGAGCCGATAATTGAATCCACTAGATGACTAACGGTAATTTAAGTAACCTCATAATTTAAGCTCAACGGAAACATTTTCCTAACCCAAACCATACCAAAAAAAAAAGTTACCTTTTTTATGGTCTCACAGCTTTATTACCTTCTTAAATATACGTTTTTATGCTGACCCTTTCTAACTTGCGTTAATTAAACTGGTATATTTGTTGATTTATTGCGATTGATTGACCCGATGTCAACGTGAAAATAGCAAACACCGCCTCCTACGAATGGGATCGGTATTCACTGGCCAGACAAATTGCCCAGTCAACACGATATATACATATGTAGATGTATTTTGCTTACTCTACAAGCAACACACATTACCAATTTTTCCAGCACGACTTTCGTTCAACAAATGGAATGTATCACTCAATTGGACCGGTACCACGGAACAAACGTAGATAGAAATGATTTTCTGTGGTCTGCAAACTGGAACAAATAAGCCGAGGCCACACAGCCGCATAGAAGAGTCGAGACACGCGAGAGTAAATATTCCTGTGGGATGTTTACAAACAAGGCGTGAGTATACCGCGCTAAACCTTAAATGGTTCCAAATTACTTGTACCGCGTGCATTAGTTCACGCTAAATGATGCAAAGGTTTAAAGTGAGTTTTATCAAAGAATGTTTTACAGCGTGCTCCGAATAGCGCCACTTGTTTCACGATTACCGTTAGTGTCGTGCCTTTTTGTTGATAGCAGTGGTTTCCCACCTTTTCGCTTTGGCGCCATTTTCATTTACTTCTTTTGTCAACGAAGGTTATCTGACCTGCAAGTGACCAGTGGACGGGCAGCCGGTCAAATTTGTTGTCTTGACGAATCTGTCATTGGCTCTTTAAATCGAAAAATGTCGCAGGCGAAGATATCATCATTTTTTTCCCGGAAAAAAGACATTGTCGGTAATTCTAAGCAGGAGATTTCATCGAAGAAGGAATTAGAAGAGGACGTAATCAACAATCGTGCCACCGGTGCTAATAGTGATTGTGATTCGCCAGTGAAGCCTTTGAAGGAAAAACGAAAGAGTCGAATATTAGATGACAGCAGGTGAATAGAAAATACGTTTTCGAGACCCTGATTACAGTGACTTATAAAGAATATGGTTTATTGTGGATCAGGATAGTGCATATATGATAGGTTTATTAAGCAGCGCTAAGTCTTTCAAAAAGTATTTAATCTTGAAACCCACTGTGGGAAGCTGAATATTGAATTGTCTCTATGACAGAGCCAAAGTAATGCATATCGCGCGCTGGCTATTTGTATGGGCAGTTTATTGAGTACGGTTGATCGCCAACATATACTTGTGCAACGTACGCCGTCATCAAAGTTAGCTAGGGTACATGGTAAACATTTTTGTCACTATCTTGTATAAGTTGGGAGGTATTTTCTTCAAGTGGTTGTTAGTTATTGATAATAATACAACTTCATTAATTTTCGACACAACTTTTACTTACATGAGGTAATAATTAAAAATCCCTACCCATAATCTCACATTCGGTTGCTCGGCGGCCCTTTAATGCTCACTAATAGTTCACGTTATTGCATCGGTGTGGAAAAGCAACTAGAGTAAATAACCTTTTTAATTATTTAATCACATATATTTAAATATTATATATTTGTATAATATTTAGCGACTATATTTAAATAATATACTTTTGATGTGGCTTACCTTTGATGACGATAATATCAACAACATAAAGTAACAATAAACAATAGTGTTAAAATCTGCCTAGAAGTTCACAACAGGTTTACCAATAAATTAATTATTTTGAACATTCATCAGTCAAGAAACAGTCAAGAGCAACGGATTGTCAAATATGCCATGTGCGTCCTAAAATAGTTGGCCGGAATAATGGCTCTGTTCTTTTTTGATAGCGAGGATGAACCGAGTCCGTCGAAAAGGTCACCGAATGAAAACAGAGCTCCTACAAAAGAAAGCAAGCTTGCGAAGAATGTTGGCAGTAAAAAATCGCCTGGCAAGAAGACCGGAGCTAAGCGTAGGCTAAGCCCAGGCTCAGTCGACGAAAAAATGCCTGCCAGCAAACGAATTTCAACAGTTGATAATAGTGATGACAGCCACGGTGACAAGGTTAGCTTCGAGTAGATCATTATACGAGATCGCATGACTAATTTTGATAATTGACTGTTGTACAGTGCTGGTTACGATTGGGTTTCAGTGAAAACCTATAAAAACTGGTGTATTATTACTGCTTTGCATTATACTCGCTTCAGTTGCTTATATGGGATTCTATATGTATATTAATTACTATAATGAAACGCATTCTGCTTTCAGTGCGAGGGAAAACGAACAAGTCAAACCCAAGATAGAGAAAAGGATCAGGAAAAGGACACGAAGACTCCAATTTTACCTAAAGCAAAATCAGAGAAAGATGACGTCAAAGAAGACAGCAACGAAAAATCACCCAAGACCGTTAAAGAGAGACCCAAGAAAACGATGGCGTTTGACAGTGGTGTTCGTGTTGATGACTTAAGCCCAAATGACTATCGCCCAGACAAGGAGAAGTACGATCCCGTTAAAGACGCCACTTGGAAAGAAGGAGAGAAAGTTCCTTACCTTGCGTTTTGTCAAACGCTTAACCGTATTGATGAAAATTCATCCCGTCTTAAAATGATAGAAATTCTTCGCAATTTCTTTTGGAGTTGCCTGGCTCTATCGCCGAATGATTTAATTTTTGGAGTATATCTGTGCCTGAATAAAACAGCCCCAGATTACGAGGGTCAGGAGCTAGGCATAGGCGACTCCCTGTTGATGAAAGCTATAGCTGAGGTGACGGGAAGGACGTTGGACGCAATCAAAAAAGAGGTCCACGTTAAGGGTGACCTGGGCATGGTAGCAGAGTCATCCAAAACGAATCAGAAGATGATATTTGCTCCACCCAAGTTACTTCTGTGTAATGTTTTCGCTAAGTTAAAACAAATTACACAATTAAGTGGACAGAGCGTCCAAAGTAAGAAGGTCGACATGATTAAAAGCATGTTTGTGGCTTGCCGCGGGTCTGAATCTAAATTTCTTATCAGGTCGCTGACTGGAAAGCTCCGAATAGGTCTCGCAGAGTCCAGCCTTCTTACAGCTTTGGCCCATGCTATCATTCTGTACAATCAACCTGAACTTGCGAAAACGTTGGGTACTGAGTCGACAAAGAAAGTCCTTGAGGAAGCTACACTGGCCTTAAAAACGGTATATTGTGAGTGTCCGAACTACGACAAAATAGTTCAAGTGGTTCTGAAGGATGGTTTCGAGGCTTTGCCGGAAAAATGTAAGATAACTCCGGGTGTGCCTATGAAGCCCATGTTGGCGCATCCTACTAAGGGAGTGACAGAGGTTCTAAAGCGATTCGAAAATATGAGTTTTACGTGTGAATTTAAGTACGATGGTGAGCGTGCGCAGATCCATATGATGGAGGGAGGAAAAGTGTCAATATTTTCCAGAAATCAGGAAAACAATACGACGAAGTATCCCGATATCATTCAGCGGATTATTAAGAATATAAAAGAAGGAGTCATTGATTTTATCATGGATTCCGAGGCCGTGGCGTATGATCGTGAAAAGAAACAGATCCTTCCTTTCCAAACACTGATGCATAGAAAGAAAAAGGATGTTGATCATGGTGAAATTATCGTTCAGGTTTACGTGTTTGCTTTCGACTTACTGTACCTTAATGGTAAATCGCTTGTGAAGGAACCTTTCCGCGAGAGGAGACGTTTGTTAAGAGAGCATTTCCACGAAGTCGAAGGCGAGTTTGGGTTTGCAGCCAACGCTGATCTTGAAAACGTTGATGATATTCAAGAATATCTAGAAGAAAGCGTTAAGGGCAACTGCGAGGGTTTGATGGTAAAAACACTTGATAAGGAAGCGACTTACGAGATAGCAAAACGTTCCCACAACTGGCTTAAGCTAAAGAAGGATTACCTAGAAGGTGTAGGAGATACGATCGACGTCGTTGTTATCGGGGGTTGGAAGGGAAAAGGCAAGCGAACAGGAACGTATGGGGGATTCCTGCTGGCATGTTATGATCCAGAGAGCGAGGAGTTCCAATCGCTATGCAAGATCGGTACAGGCTTCAAAGAGGAGGAGCTAGAACAGCACACCAACTTCTTCAAGGATTATGTACTCGAAAAGCCTAAACCATATTACAATGTGGACTCTTCGCTTCAGCCCGATGATTGGTTTGATGCTGTGCAGGTAATGCAAAATGTTGAAATTTTCTTGCATCGGCATAGAACAAAAAATATTAATAAGGACATTAAGGAACTAAATGGACAGTTATGCTTTAGAAAGATATCGTTGTGATAATTTTGAATTGGTATATTTGTTATAACTGTTTTCGTATTTTAGGTATGGGAAATCAAGTGCGCTGACCTGTCGATTTCTCCTCTACACAAAGCCGCTATTGGATTAGTAGATCCAGAAAAAGGAATTTCGCTTCGCTTTCCGCGTTTTGTCAGAATTCGTGACGACAAAAATCCTGAGGACGCAACACACGCGCAGCAAATCGCTAGCATGTACCGAAGTCAGGAACAGATCAAAAACGCTGGGCCTTCAGGAACTAACGATGAAGAAGATTTCTACTAGAGTTAGAACTTCCAGGATTTTGTATACAGTGGTCGTATTGGTGGTCAGACGTGGTATTGCAGGTTGTTTATTGGATAAAATATGGAGTTGATAGCATAACAGTGCATCGAATTAATTTGTGCTAACTACTGGCTCAATGAGACAGTTTTTGGAAATTAACATTGTACACATACTTTCTTGTAATACAACTACTTACACATGGTTATTGGGTCTGCCGGTTTAACAGTAACTCTTTAAGCTCTTCGGGCTGAATCGCACTGTCAGTGCCGTTTTTTAGGTTGTGCGATCTCTGCACATATCTATTTGTTATATGATGCATATTTTATGCAATGACCATTTGAATTGATATGCGTAAGACCATAACGACAGTCATGCGTTTCAAGGTAATGAAATTTTCTATCGAGTAAGCGATACTGTTATAAGCACCCTTATTATGGAGGATCAGGAATAAAGAGGATTATATATTTGCAATGTAACTAATAACATGAAAAACGTATATATTATCAAATAGTTTACCGCAATTTTGGAAGATAGTATCTGACTCTACTATGGAGATGGGTAAGTGTGCTTATACCGCTGTGATTAGAAATCGCACAGCTATCATTTACATTTTATTTTGCGCTTGTCGAGAGCAAATTTGAAGTTGTATGATAAATAAATTAGCCTGAAAGCAGACTTCTAACATAACCAATATTTTTATGAGTAGTTATGATCAGGCAAATACTTATTTGAAGCATACTGTTTATTACAGTAAATAAAAAATATGAGTTCAAATACAAAATATCTAAATATGAATAACACAAAGTACAAACACTGTTTTACTGGATCACTTATGCGTATTAAGGCTTGAAAAGATTTTTCGAAGCTACTTTTTTCGATTCTTGTAGCAGGTTTTAATCCAGATAGATCCACAAAAGACATATTCAAAGTTCTATTACTATTTGTTTCGCAGAGTGGCCCGGTAAACCCTCAAACTAGAATTAATCTGTTGTGATATCAGCTAACCTGTTAAAGACATTTCTATTATACGTCAACGAGATCTGTTTGCAAGGAAGTCAGTGCTTTGAATGATCTCATTAGCCAAATAACAAGTCAAGGCTGAACAAAGACTGAGATATCAAATAATAACACTGTAGTGTTGCTGTAACGCAAGTATGCATAGGAACAACTAAGGGAACAATAGCACTTCAAAAACCAAACTACGGTAATATTGCCACATTTTATGAAAAGTGTGTTTCAGATCCTGGTGCTGATATCCTTGTTTATACTCTTGACAAAGACGAATAGTATTATGGTCTTGCATTTCGGTTGGATTTGATACATTTGAAAAAATTGATTTGATACTCAAGAAAAAAGATACCACCATACATACTGACTATGCGGCATTGAGTTCAAATACTTATTGAAATTCGAAAATACTGTATTACATTTTTGAGGTACTTTGCGGATTAACTGGAAGCTCAATTGTGCTTTTTTGCTTCTATTTAAATTGTAACTGTAACATGCGGGGGCTAGCTAAGCATGTTTTAGGTTACCTAATTATTTGGGGATAAATGGCTTAATTTCAAAGGTTTTTTTCATTTTTTGCTACGCCTCTTTATAAGTCCTGTTCGTTAGGGTGGCAAATGGTTATTGAATACAAATGTTATTTCACTGCTGATTCTAGTGTGCCTAATATATTTCCCATATGGCGTCAGTAATCTGAAAAGTTTCATTTAGAGTAGAATCGAAATGAAATTGTAACTGCTACGCATCTGGCAGCAAAGAAAATGCTTATACATATCATTCATAGGGGCAACGAACAGTTATCAAGCCAGAATTATGTTTCTTCGTCTGGTCACGTCTCCGTATTAATCAATTAATGGAAATAATACCTCTATTTAAACATGACTCCATAAAGCTCTTTCACAGGCAGAATTAATATAATTATAATTTTAAGTCGTTTGTGCAGTCAAACCGGTAGACATAGATATCAGTGCTGTTGGGAGGTGCCGCAGGTGAACACATGTCATCGATGCAAAACATCTTATCAAAAAATAACGTATGAAAATACAATGCAGCTATATTAGTATATATTAAAAAAATATTAATGCAATATAAATATAGGTATAAATATAAGTAAACTATAGTACAGTGAGATTGATTCAAGGAATATAATAGTCGATCTTTGGAACGATTCCTTTTATATATATATTAAAGTTACCTCGACAAGATTAAACAGCTCATATCTTTGACAAAGTAACATGGCTTTCACGAGTTCATACCTATTGTCCTTACCGTGTTCAATGCTTGAATTACTGCAACGCACGTATTACTCGAAATACGTCGTTCATTATATCGTTCACGCTGGTATATCTGATGAAAATCAGAATCAGTGGGGGGGTGCAAATTCGGCTCAACAACAATGACGATGATGTCATCACGTCTTGTTTATAATCTTCGTGACTAAATAATCGGCACGGTACAATTTGTGTTTCACGTAATAACAACGTACGCAGTGACCCCGCTAGCGGAAAAAAGCAGCTAGTGCTGATACCTGGAACACGGCATAGCGAGACAGCGAGGGACGGTGTAACTAAATACATTCGCAGTGTGAAGGCTACAGACTGAGATATTTTGGGTCTACTTCGCTGTTAAAAACAGTCACATAGGGCGTCGCCGTCAAATATTTATGCAAGGCGAAGGCAAACCCGATCAAGTTCATGCTAGAGCCGAAGTGAAGTCCGAAGTTGCGTTATCGTAAAAGTTGAGTCCGTTAAAACTAGCGAATCAACACGACGATGGACGCTGTCATAGCTACCAGCGCTGCGACAAAACCAGCAGTGGTAAGAGCTTATAGGAGTGGGCCGTATCATAGGCCTTGTATAGAACGCACTGTGGATAATGACACGGCTTGAACCTGAATTAAATTTCGCTGTTGTTGGGGACGTGAAAGCCGGTGCACACTGTAAATCTTACGGACATACGGACAGTGGGCTCACATATATCCCTAGCTATAAGATACAGTTCAGGCTCGGATGAGATTATTTTGCATGAAACACTTTTAGGCTGTTTCTGACACTCAGCAATAGAAGCTTTGGTTTTGATTTGATTTGATTTTGAGGTATCGCTTGTATATGGCTCGCTCAGAATATTATATAAGCCTCTGTTAAAAGATGTCTATGTCATTTTGTAGCGGAAAGGTTCTCATGCAAGTTTCAAATTATTAATTACTTGCGTAGGTTCTTATATTTTAAAAGTCCTCTTAAGTTATTTATGCTTTCAGCGGCCCACAAATGGCAGTCATTATGTGCAGGACTGAATTTCGGGCGTGATCCTTTATTTTTCATATAAAGGCGTTTATCTTTGGCATAGAGGCATAAAAAATCACAGAAAAGCTACTTTTGAACGTCACCAACAATGTTTGGAGCATTTGAGTGACCGCTCTATGAAAAGACGTCATTACTTTTTTAGAATGAGGTTGTCATTCATAAGCATTTCTAGTATTTTTTATAAATTGTTGTGAACCAAAAAGGGATAACTTAGAAACTCTTGCCGTGCCCAACAATCTCTCCAAATCCAAGTGTAATAATTACCCAGCTGTTTTGAAAGAAGGCCTTATTACTTTTTGGATGATACATAACCTCCTAGCTTCAGGAAAGTCAAAATGTTTTCTTCGTGACGAGAACAAGAACTGGTTTATTTGTCGAGAATTGCGGGTTCTACAAGCAAAAAAAACACAATAAGCAAATGCGTTTGACTAAGTACTCACACACTTTGTCCTTAAAATGAGCAGTCAAATATGATTAAACTAATCTGGAGATACGCAAAATACCAAAATATATCACTTCCAAGAAAGGCTCGCAACCGCGACGTACTCATTTAGCCAAGAGTATGGGATTAAGAAATACGTAGCGAGGCTGAAATCTCATGTGGTAATTTGGCCGAGCAAGTTACTTACCGAGAAATTTGAGAGCCTTGATTTTGACTCACGACGTACAAGACGTATACGATTTGTATGGAATGAAAGAAACTTGAACGAAATAACGTTTCTAAAATTTAGACTTTATCCGGTATAAACAAATTTGATTATAGATTGATTGTGCTTGGCGTAACCGCCGGTTGATTTGCATATACGTTGCGGCCAAATTTTACACCAGTTGTATTCAGATTATACGAACAGTAATCAAACTTTTGTTAGAGTTTAATTTTCTTTTTCCGTTAAAGCCCTAAGGCATGAATGAAATATATAAGAGATATAAACACAGGTATTTTTTTAGAACGCAGGCACATTCCAAATTCGTTCATTATTACCGCTCAGAAAAAGAAATTTGGAGTGCATCTAGCTCCTTGACTTCTTTAACAAGCAGAAGTTATTTTAGGTATCACAAGATATGATTATGTCGTCAATGGCTCAAGTTGGGGGGAAGAAAACTAATAGTTTATTGTGCATGCTGTCAATGTATGAAAAAGATAAGTTCGACGACATTAACTCCTTTAAAAATTCACCACTGCTATGAAGAAGAATTAATAGTAAAAAAAAACTCAATCAGTGTGAATATGTTTAGATGATAATGTAACTACATGTGTAACATCATCAATGAATGCACATTTATTTACGCGGTATTAGCAGTAAAATATGAAAATAAAGTAACCGATCAAAGTAAAAGATAAGGATAAAGACTGTAGTTCTTTATATAAACTTTGTTCTCCTTCGGCCTAGAATCGAAATCAAATTTAACACACGAAATGCATTAATCATTTTCCACTGCTTTTGCAACACGTTACCCTTAATCGCTTAATGGTTTGATTTTATCATGCTCATTTATCAAGTAATGTTATGGATGCATTAAAGAAAACCTAGTTTAATCCTTAGGTATTTTTCCGTTTTATTTTGCAATTTACTAATAGATATAGACCGCAAACACTTAGATTTTCACATCGCAAATGTCTCTAATGCGCCGCTTTCAGCTAGAATAATGTAAGCCATTTGTCTCTTGATGATGTATCCTCCTTTCCCGCCTTCGGAGTTAGGCCGTAGAATTTTGGATTATTAACTGTGCAATTTACCTAGCGTGATGCCTTATTACAGCCCTATAGATTTTTGAGTGTGTATGTGTATCTGTTTATGTGAAACGCTACACTGTAGAAAAATGGCGGGTCACAGTGAAATTGAATATCTGTTACAAGAGGTGTCAGCTAGCTATTCAAATGGCAGTAACAGCTGCGATAACGGCGCTAGAAGCAATAAGGCCGATACAAACTAATCGTCTAAGCTGTCTAGGCAAATTTAGGCGGCAACCGCTGTATATCCATGGTGATTCCAAGCAAGCACCGGCCTGCGTCGCGCCAGCGGTCTCACAAGTATACATTCATGTACACTTTTTAAAGCGACTCCATCCCAGCAAAGTCTGCATACCCGGCGACCCGTTGAGACTGGCACCACACACGCCCCAGTAATTTCATGTGTCTCAAACATTGCTTTCCTGCCTCTGATCCTGGTGCCATTGGCATTTCATGTGCGGCGAACGATCTGTAGCCATACACCCTTCGTCGTTCATATCGTGTGCTAATTAACATAGATACCGCCTAAAATTTGAACACTTGTATTATGATATACAATATTTATGCTGCAGAGAATGTACATAATGAGTTCACGATTGACGACTATATAACAAAATAAATGTTGGTAATGTTAGCGTATATATGTGTAGATGTAGTTACGGTAGCGTAAGACCACAGGTCGTTTTGGGTTTGTTTCCCCCTCCCCTCTCCCCCCAATTACCTACTCGCTGCAATTTCAGAGGCATTCCGTCGAAACCAAATCTCTCGAACCATATTATACTTACCTCATGTATAAACGCCCATATGACCATATATAGTCTGACGAGGTCTCATTGGTGAGGAGACGAGTGTCAAAATGAATTACTAGTGTATTTAGAGGAGCAGTCTTCTATAATATTTGTAATATGTTATTCGTATCGAGACTGTTATTCTGTGGTGGCTTTTGTCAAGTCGCGTTGTCGTTTAAGTTTATAAGTTTAACGAGAGAATTTACTAGAATTGTATGGGAGTTACTTCGAGTGGTAAAGAACACAACCGTATAGACGTGAATCGGTATATTTACTATAATGTATTAAAACTCCATGTAAAAAGTTTCAATAGTAAGAAATATTGGGGTGTTTTGTAAAAGCAAGTCTAAAAGTGCTTCAAATTGGAATGATGCAATAGTGATTATTATTGGCCCAGGTTATGATTTACGGGGCGTTTGTGCTGTGCTCATTTTGACATACTTTTGATAAGCTCTGCATTGTGTGCGGACTGTATGAAGAGGAATATCAATCGCAGAACTTATGATATGTCGAAATTGTTTACATCGTATAGCGCTGAAGCATTTTTCACTTTCCGAAAATCACAGAGCCGTTACCCTTAGGTAAATAAAAGGCGTTATTTTTAAAAGCATTTATAATTCGATGTTATGACATGCAAGTATCACGTCTTTAACTCTGTACAATTATCATTTGTAAATTTAGAATGCAAAGATTTCATACGAATGTGTATTGTATACAACATAAATACCACTAATTATATGTAATAAATTGTATTGAGATTCACTGTTGATGAACAGAAAAGGCATAACTATATTTTACAAAACAGGTTCTTCAGACGAAAGTAGTACTCACTGCAGTTGAGTCGAGGCTATACGCTATAACGCGTGATCGTTTGCGCTGGTATCCCTATAACCGTTTTGTTCTTTGTAACTATTGACAATAAATGTAAAGAGCTATGACTCAGTACGTTCAGATAAGATACGAATGCTCGTGTGTGATTTCCATAATTATCGACGTTTGTGGACACTGCGAATACGGACAAACTGCATAAGATGAAATCGTTTTTTTGGCTAGTAGTAAACAATTGCTTCCGAATAAGTTCTCGGATAATGCAACCCACGATAGGTAAAGCGAGGTTTTCTTCATTGGCAGTACAACAATCACGCATTAGACATTATCAAAGTTAAATAAATCTATATTTTTTGGACGCCGTACAGAACATACAATATGCATTAATCGAATATTCAACCGAGTTAAATGCAGTCAACCAAAAGGCTATACGCTACGCCCAAATATTATTGTCATAGCCTACTGAGAAGGCCACATTCAACTAACTATAGCGCTTATTTCATGTGGATGGCCCTTGCAACAATACATTGGTATACTACGTTGATGCACTGTCCAGAAAAGTCTTGTTTTGCATTTCTGTTACAATGGATTGTAAGTTTCAGTTTTACTAACGAATATCGAGCCATCCAAACAAAGACAGATCTGCCAGCTTTAGCAGGCCAGATGGAGGACAAATGCTCCTTATAGGTGCATATATATAATATAATGAGGCTTTGTTCCAGTTCTTTCTTGATGCAGCGGGGACATGAAAATCGGCTTGGGAGCTTTGTGAATCTTTTCTTTGCATTCAGCATAGTCCTGGTGCAATTAGAATTGTAGAGCAGTGAACAGAAAATCCAGTCTGATACGTTAAAAGTAAGGTATTATTGGCGATATTTGGCTTGGTTTTGGATACTAGACAAGTTTCATGAATGTCCTACGACAAGTTCTTTCAGGACATGTCGCTGTGTGATGAGGTACATCACGCGCCACAATTTTCAAAAATACACGGTAGCGTACAGCACCCTCGTTAAGGACCTATAGATATGAGCAAATCAGTCTAAATTCGTGAGAGAAAACAAATTTTTATTACGCGCAATGAAAAATCTCAAAGCCTAAGGGTCGTTCTCCGTTTTTTTGTGAGAATACTTTAATACAAATATGAAAATAAGGTGTAGCGTTCATACGCTTTTATAGCTTCGTTGATTTTTCTCTAGCAAGTTAATTTACGTATATACTTGTATTTATGATAGCATTAAACACGCAAAGCTAAGCCAAAAAAGCGCGCTAACAGTTTGCCAAAGATAGAAGGTTATCAAATATCATTTATTAAGCGATCCAATGAGGCAGAAATACATAATAAATCGGCAGGTTGTCGTTTTTCTCGTTCACGGCCCCGCATAGGTGTCAAGCAGTCCTAGTGAAGGTAAGGACGAGCCCGCATTACTAAATAAACTTCTTTCTTGCTTGAGCACCTCAGTTGTCACAGCGAAACGAGGTGAGGACATTCGTACTTGAATCTTGCCTTTTCGCCATCCATGCTAAGTGAACTGGGCTAATATAATGGAGAGCAAGCTGTTTAGTCACTCTATATAGCCAAAGCTTTTCTGTACAACTATATGTATCCGGGCGGGTGAGTTTCTTCATAGCGTTTACTTCAAAGGTCGTTTATCTGTCGCACAAACGTTTCCGGGCTATGGCCATGGCTGAAGGATACCAAACTTACATAATTACCTATCTAATTAAGTAAGCCTCCATGACATAGTTAGCCAATTAATAGTCCTGAGCGGATGAGATCCTCAATGCAAAACGAAATCACGACGCGAGTTTACACATGGTTCTTATCACCTCTCTATATCTTGCCAACAGTTGCCAGTCAGATTGCTGTTCATATCTTGCGTTTACTAAGGCCACTGAAGCCATTCGCTAAAGTACTTATTGCAAATATAAATATTCCGGAAATAGCCCACTAATACAAAAAGAGCATTACTCAATGTCTATATACGCTGATGATAGAATGTTTTCAGTAACTGCTAGAATGTATCCATAAAGAGCGAATCATAAAGGCGAAAAAATGTTTTTTTTTCGAGTTTGCTTAGCAGAGATCCGTCTTAAACATCTAGTATTGATAGATCACGGCTTCCTTTTTCTCTGAGGAGAACGCTAATCGTTGTGGCCTAATCATAATAATATTTTGGGAATGATTGAGGAAGGAGAAGTAAAATTAAAGGTTTGGTACTTCTGCTTAAAGGACCTGTATATCGCCTGAGAAGACTAATATGTATTAAGTTGCGAAAAAAAGGGTAACTTTTCACCTAATGAAAAACGTAATGTTTCATTTAAATTCTAACAACGTATCAATGAATCATGTGTCCACCATAATTTTCAGCAATGTCCTTACGTTTTTAAATCAATTATATCATTAATAATACTCCGTCTCGCCAGACACTTTCAGTTCCACTATTGGAGAATTCGTCCAGCCGGTTTTTGAAATCATGTTCCTCGTCAAACTGTTAGAAATCTCATTCGTTGATGAGAGGGGCACAAATTCGTCTGCACAAGGCCTGTATATATAGTGGAATATAGTGGGTGCAAAAACCTTCGCATCCATCGAAGTTTTTGCAGATCCGCATGGTTCATTTGTGGTCTGGCATCTTTATAAATGAGAATGACTTTGCCTCGTATGTAGAGCCTTGTCTGCTGGACAATTTTATTTACTTGATGCACCTTGGTCATATACAAGTACTTGTCCGCCATTTCTAAACATTTTTTTTGAGGTATAAAACTCTTCGTTGGACTGAGCGCAAATCTTAGGCCTTTTTGCAGCATTCATAGAAAGGTCGTCATTTCCTTCAAAACAATTAGAAAATTGTTCAAAGAGTACCGGCATTTTTTTTATCTCCTGGAAATTCCTTTAGCAAATTATGCACCCACTCGTTTGGAACCGACTTCTCAACGTTAGTATGTTGTGCCGATCTCATGTCGATGTTATTTTACTGTTTAAAAGCAACAATGTGTGGAATACTGCTTGTTCGCCCACGTGGGGCATTTTTAAGGAAGAAATATCCTGACTTTCATCGCTTACTTTTACAGAACACTTTTGGACATTTGAATCACTAAACTGAAAAGAACGTTCAAATCAAAATAGACCGTGTTGTGACAATGCTGACTATAAAAACTTTCTCCATTTTTCTATAAGGCACTTCGTCGATCCTCGAATCTTAGACTCGTATTTAGGTGAATTCTCGCACACAACGAATAACGTAAGAACTTTTTTGAAACGTTTAATAAACAAAGTAAAATTCCATGTAATAAAAGTATACGACGCAATAGCTTAACAAGCCTATCGTATACGGTACAATATGCAGAACTTCCATTTGCATACTATTTAGAAATCGTTGAATCAAACAGACTGTAACTATTGATCAGCTTGAAAGAAATTGAAAGAACTCACAACTTCCATCCAGCTGCCAAATGGGGAATTTGTTTTCGCAACACTTTAATTCAAATTCAAAAAGACGTTCCGGCAGTTTCTCTATTTTCGGATACATCAATAAATCTAATTGCCTTAATCCACTACTTAGTCTACCTATTCGCTGAACTTCTTGTTCCATCGGCCCGAATGTACGGAAACGCTAACATTTCAGCGCCCCCTTTTATTTAGTTTTAATAATAGCAGCAATGATATGAACAACTGTTTGTTCGTTGTATAAGCATCATGTAAATACCGTGTCATCGCTAACTAGGAAAGTTATACGGTGTGTACAACAAACAGCGCTTTGCTATTGTTACTGCGGCGAAAAGGTTGAACCGTATGTAAGGTTTCACAGCGTTACTCACATTGTTTGCGTGAGTAGCAGACAGACGTGTCACGATGAAATCTCTTCCAGCAGTTTTTAATTAGGCATAGGGCATATGCAGGTTTACGGACTGTAGTAAGATAGGTAGAGTACACATAGGCGAGGCTCCAGCATCGATGGGGAAACAAATGAAATCTTGAAACTAAAGTTTTCAGGTGAGGGTGGAAGACAGTAGCTGAATCACCAACAAAAAAGGTCAGCAGCCGAAAAAGTTTTTGTCTATAAGCTAAGATCCGTGAGGCTCGAGAGGGGGCATAGACACACTATGGTCGGCGCTGGAAAAGGCGGCTAGCCGTTCGAAGAAATGCCTAGCTGTCGATTTGAAGAACTCCAATTTAAATAAAGATTGGTTGTTTGTGCATTGAACCATAAGCCTCAATTCTTAGGTCTGAAAATCCTAGTCAGTCACTGAATTTGCAGAATGCGTTATATATTGTCAATAGTACTATAGCTATACATTATTTTACAAAACTAACAAGAATACGTACGGTTCTACGGGTAATTTTAGCTAGCAATAATCTTTAATTGAGACTTGATCGGTTTCCATTACAAAAGCTTTCTTTACTGTTCACTAATATGTCTTTACTTGCTTTTTTTGATTATGTACTTAATACAAGGACACGACAAATCAATAAAACAAATATACTTTTGAATGTTAATCGTGAATTTTCAATACTATCGCTGTATGCTGCGCAAATTATATATTGCACTATTAAGCTTTCCAGCTCGAAGATATGGGTGAAATTAGGACACTTCCACTGGATCTAATGACAAAATTGGGTTATTCCTATTTAACAAAACACTGTGGATGGGAAGCAGAGTCGCGAAACACCTGTGTATCTGTCTGCAAACGTTGGTGATATTCTCATCGGTCGTGAACTCCGTGGGAGATCACTGCTGGTGAATGGGTGTTGATGAAATTAGTACTCAACTATATATGTCCTGTATCACGATGTACGAACTTCTAAATGACAGTCTTTTTCCAATGATTTTCACGCTTAGTTAACCACTTTATGTTTTCTAACTTTTGGTCACCCCAAGGTCGCCGTTCTTATTATCCTTAATATTCGAAGTTTTCCATTTTGTTATAGAAATTATTAGAATTATTAGAATTATTATTATGTAGAAGTATTTCAGGATGTTCCCGAGAGTTAAAACCAAGCTTTTGCAAAGAAGCGCATTATTATACATTTCAACGGATCATTAACCTTAACAGTAAATGGACTCGTTTGTCCCATATCAGAGCTATCGTTGTGATTCGCGAAACACACGTAGAAGCAAACTGTGTTGTTCGGTAACTATCGGCATTATGTTGAATTTCTGCATGATGAAAAATTGCAACCAGCTAGTCATTAGCTATCTCCTGGAAAACAAGCTTTAAACATTTTGAAACCTCCTTAGGTTAAGCTCCTAAAAATCGGTAGTTAAGGTTTTTTTTTAATTTATGTAAGTAACCCGCAAGCCGCAAGATATTGCAAGCCGTTCTATAAGCAGCACTTAAAGAGCAATACTGGCCCTGTCCTAGGTAAAGACATTCATTGAGAAAGCAAAAAAGGCCAAAAAGCAGATTTCGCCTTTTTATTGTCGCAAGACAGTTGGTATCGTTACACCTGGTCCATCGCCTCATCGTGACTTCTATTATGCTGGAAAAAAACGCTTCGTTTTTAATGTGCTCTGGGATATCGGGTGGACAACAGAGTGCACTTCTTAAAAAGAAAAAGAAATTCTGATACGTTTTTTTAGCTGATTTTAGGCTAAAAAAAAAACTTCATCAACAGCTAGTAAAGTGTCTGTTCAATATTTTGCTGACTGCGAAGGGTGCTTCAGAAAGAAGATTCATTCTTCTAGTCTGTAAGCTATGGGTTTGCTTCCTTTGAATAAAAACGTTATTTCTATCGTCACTTTATTTCACGGTTTCATAAAGCGCCATTTTCTCTATCTACTGACAACTCAACATGCTCTTAAATGAGGTGTTCTTCTTTCATGTAGAGCATAAGTGTCGATCTAATTCATGATTGCAGTCACCCTCCCTGCAGCATATGGCGATGAAATACGCTTGTTAGGTTCCACCAGCCAGGCGAACATTCTTCATTATATTTGGAGGTCTAGGTCACTTCTTTCTTACCAACCTATCCCGTAGGATCTCATCCAAAATTTTAAGTTGCCATTATAGAGTTCTAATACAATTTGGGGCTCACTCATCTTAGGGTCGAGAAACACTCCTGTCAAAGGCCATCTACGTATGGCAATAGAATCTTTTTCTCTTGTTGCAGGGCATCATTTGAGCCAGTTAGACGAAATGAAGTATGCCGTTGACAAAAAAAACCGGCATATTCTCCTAACCACTTACGGGCCGTACCGAATGTGTAGGACATAAATATAGCTGTATCTCTGAATGTGTATATATTGTGGTGATGCGTGAGTGACATAAAACATCTATCGCTTCCGGGAGAAGTTGCAATATGGCCCAATATACTGCACTGTCGCGTCGGCGTCGAGCGCCTGCCATAAGTAGCAGATAGCATTGATGATGTTGGGTCGTCTTAAGGCCATCTCGAACACTGTTGCGCAACGAGGAAATCTTAAGGTCATACGTTCACATTTTGAGAACGATTTGATTTGACTGTCAGGGTGCCCGCATGCTGCAGTCTCATTCCCGTGTCACACCGGCTTGAGGTGGCAGAACCTCACCGTCGACTGAGTCTTCATATTGTGTAATATTCTCATATGTGACGGCAGCACATTTTGTTGCAGTGTTGTCGCGCTCCACGGCTGTCGACCGACCGTGTTTGTTGCGCCTGCGTATTCCAGCTGCTAGTGGCGATCTATGTTGGCAGTGATCGTCTAAGTAGCACAGAAGGGGCGAGATGCAACTCCAAGGTACCGACCCTGACGCCTGACGAGTATAAAATGACTCGTTCATGTTTGTCGATCACACTTTCTCGTAGTCCACAGCAACTACGACCGCGACACGGTGAGTAGTAGTCAGCGTCAGAGCCATACTACATATAAACACATAATAACGATTGCAACAAAAACATGTCGAGTGTTTATATGGCAACTAACACAGTTTGTTGTTGTACTTACCATTTCTAATAGATGCTTTTCAAACTATTCATTCTATCGTAGATCTACCTTATTGCAGAATCGGTATATGCATGTACAAAGAAAAGGTCATGATCACACGAGTGTAACATGAGATGAGGATAAACTTCGATAGCCGAATGCTTTGAATGCGCTCAACAAAGAAAGATAGTTTATATGAATCAAAATATGGCGACAGGCATAATAATTTAAGGACAAACACTTGGAAAAGAAAGGACATCAACTGGATTCTCAGCTCTTCGACATTGAGTAATTTGTTGGCATGTGTATAAGTGAGGGTTCTATATCGTATATAAATATTGTCCATGAGCTTTGAGCGATAACGAAGAACTCGTATGAATAACTATCTGTCAAGGACCTTACCTATCAAGAGGGCCTGTTAAGGTTAGCAAACTGTAGTCACAGGCTAAGCTTTTATACGTCTAGTCACAAAGACATTTACTGTACAAACCAGTCATAAGGAAAACATATATATTTCACATCGAAACGTGAGCTGAATAAGATTTTTTATATGGCACTTTGTTATTCAAATACTCGAAAAATTAGAATTCTTTTACAGACGACCAGATCTGGCCTTCGACGCTTAAGTGTAGTCATTTTGCACGAAGGTTAGTTGTTGAAGCAGGAATCTCCTGAAAGAGCCTATTGTCTACAGAATGACCGAAAATTCGCAGATGTTTCAAAAATAAGATTTAAGTCTTTAAGCAGTCAGTGGAGGAAGGTGGCGTGTAACTCCATCAAGTTTTTATTCAGGAATTGCCTGAATAAAAACTTGATGAACAAAACTGCCTATTACTATTACGTATCTACGCAGCTTGCTTGTCAGACGCGAAATTGGTCGGTTTTACTGCGTCTTCCGTAACAAAACTGCTTTGTAATGTGTTCCTTATTACACGCTTACATTTTGTTTTAGATGCAGTCGTTTTTCCGATCCTATCTTCTTATATCAAGATCCGTTTTGATTGGGGCGCTGATCTTCCTTTCAACGGTTCCTGTACTTCCTACAGAAGCGCGACTACTTCCGACAGTCAAGGTTTGCTGGAACCTCATTTTATTCATTATCTTTTATCTACTCTATCACCAATCTAACGATCTGACAGTGTTACATCACTAAAAATGACAAAAAACACGTTACGCCATTTCATGACATACTCTTTTTCCAAGAATAGCGCTCGATTTTCGGTGCGCACTTTCAGTAGTATGTTCCATCAATATTTTTTTCTAGTTGCTGCCAAAAATTAAATATTTTTCCGATTGATATTACGAGATAAGCGTACCTCGCAGACCGTGGCTCCGGAACGAAATTCCGTTTAAAATTTGATCACACGCAATATGTAACAAATACAGGGACCGACCATTAACTGACTATACTTTTTTTGATAAACGCAATTCAAACTACTAGGGAAAGTTTGTATTCCCCAACTGAGCTATTTTCGTTTAGCTAATCCTTCTATTGCATAGGTATGGATAAGCTTTGTTCAGGTATTTATTTAGCCTTAGATGGAAAGCTTTCAAATAAAACTAGTTAAAATCCTAGATGACTCTGGATAAAGTTTGTGGATTGCTAGGTGAACGCTGTGTTAAGTAGTGTGTTGCTGAAGCTATTTTTAAGGCCTGGAGTTATGGAAGCTTATGTAATATTGAGAATTCACCATGCGTATATCGTTTATTTAAATTGATGCTCCGCGCCATTGTAAATAGTCCGATTTGGTAGATTTGCTCGACTTATGAGCAAAGGCTTTGGCTAAGGAACAATTTCTCATCGCGCTTGTGTGTGGTCTTTTGAATCGTTCATTGTATGAGGAAAACGTATGAGATAGATCTGCAAAGTGATTATTGCATACAAATTATTTTCCAAGACCCGTTAGCTAGAAAACATTTTTATAACCGGACATCTTCTCTGAAGATTTCTGTAAAGAACAATCAGTGAAGGTTTCGGCTCCCTCTACTTTGTTCCTACAGTTTAACTGCTTGATCGACGACATTGCCGTGCAAGTTTCGTCCATTCATCGTATACTTTGCTATTTAATTTTTTCAAGAAACCTAACTGTGCTTTATGTAATATAATCCGCTCGGCAGCTGTTTTAGTATAATAATATAAGCTAAGCCGCTCTCGTGCTGATCGTGTGGGCTCCGTTTGAAAAAAAGGCTCCCCTAGGACCGCACGCTTTGCCTGATGGCATGTGCCCTGCACATTAGCTCAGCTAGAATAGCGGGAAGACTGTTTGCACTCTCGAAACCTTATTTTGCGCTCTTGAGACCCAGCCTACCTTAAAACACTTTGGGTCCTAGATGAAGAGGCACAGTTCCTTTCGAAGATAAATTACTTTTGTGAAAGGCGGTCGTCTGCTCCACTGAGAGCGCTGACTCTTAGGTTCGTATAAGTCTGCTAACATATGGAGCAAGTCATCGTTTGTAAGATGTCATGGCAGAGATGTAATGTGAGTGCGCGTTCGAAAGGCCCGCGCATACGGTAGAGATTCCTAAAGATCTTAGGAGCTAAATTTTCTAATAGAGACAAGTTTTCAATTGACTTCAAATGAGCTGCACAAACACTCTAATTTTAAATAACAATGCAGTATTTACAGTGGAAACAAGAACCATACCATTTTTTAGTTTGCAATAAATTCTTGCGTGAACCAGTGTATAGTTGGCGAGCTATCACGTTAATGATATGTAGGAGTAGCAAAGTACAATAATATCAACGAAACGGTATACAAACTCACCCAATAATATAGCGCTAACTTACAAATGGTTGTATATATATATATATATGTTAAGTTTCGACCACCTGCAAACGATTTTTACGGTACGTCGAACGTAAGCTGAGGTATTTCTTAAAATCTACGTTCCTTGTACCGGTTCGTGTAACTGACAAATGACAGGATTTTAGCTGCTCTTGAAGTTATGCCAAGATACAGCCCTCGTTTTAAACATTGAGGCAGTTTACGTTATTTTTAAGTGGGTTTTTTAAAATAAGTTCAGAAATGTATCTATTTTAAGTTCCGCATCCATTCATATAAAGGATGCGGTTACTGCTGGAGATAATCGGCTTGGAGTCGCAACACAGGTATAAAATGCTCAGAGAAGCAATAAAAGTTCGGAATAATCGATGGTTTGTCTCGCCAACACTGGTAATGCCTAGAATCACCAGGATGCACAAGCTCGAATGAGTTTGTTCCGATTCAGATTTGTACTTGCTTATAACATGCTAATACTCTCATTAGCCCTGCATTATATCTTTCAACCAATTTGGTTCAATAGGCAATTCTAAAAGAAATGCATTTGTGAGTATCATTTGTTGTTATTTTATGAGACGTTTTTCACTGGTTGAGATTTTTAACCAGATGAAATAGCTCCATACCTTTTCGGCTGCCATTAGTTACGTCGAGCTCGTCGGTTCCTGAGTGGCCTTTGTCGTTTATCTTATCTAAATTTATTTGTGTATAATTCCTATAAGGTGTGTAACGTGGATGAATTCTATGATGCTATGACAATTGCCTGTTCGTTCCCACCCATCCAAGCGCACAAAAGGGCCGATTATGATGACTCTGGTGAGTATTTTCACAGCTGCTGTTGTACTTAGTTGTGCTGATACTTCTGCTAAATCACCATCAAAGTCCTTTCTCTATAAACTTGCAGGGTATGAAAGATGTAATGGCATCTTGTAAAGGTACTATACTCTTTTTTCTTCATCATGGATGCAATTGCAGAATTAAATTGATACCGCTCTTCTGGAAAAGAATGGTATATTCATAAAGTGTATCAGTTCTAAAATCTGAAAATCTTGTTAACCGGATAATATAACGGTTAATTATCAGGCGCATCTCACTCTGCAGATTTTCCAAAAACATAAAAAAAATGAAGCTGTAATATAATTAATGCAACTAAACTTACTTACATAAATTATACCATAACTGTCAAAAAATGACTATTCGGTTAAAGAAAAATGCTTGCGAAGCCTACAGATGCCATTTTCACACTGTTATTTGCTTCCGTGTATAGTGTAAATTAATTCTTTTTGATAATGTGTACCATATAAAACCCAGTAGGGACGCAAGAGTGTTCATGTCCTAACATTGCCCCTGCGGTCTCATAAATTACTGTCCTATCAGTTTATATATTTAAATAGTGACTCTAGAGCTATCTTTGCCTTATAACGTATCAAAAGAAGTTTCTTATGTTCAAAGTAAGGGATTTTAAAATATCTGCACGGATTCGTTGTTATTTCGGTTAGGAGATCTTTCGACCTCAGGCAGTGGGCGTGGAAGCGAAGTGTTGAATTTAATTTTTCAAACCAACTTTTAACATCACCCTCGGCATTTTTTTGCCCATTCTCTGATTTCTTGCTTCTTCTCAACTAATAAGAGCGTAAAAACAATAGCAACAAACGTTAAAATAGAAGAAAAGCGAGGTCTTCGTTGCTGCCGCCGCCAAAGCTTACACCATCAACATAAATAACCGCATACATTTTTTTATGCATTATTAGTACTATTAGTTGAGGATGTTTTGCCTGCCACCTGGAGGCCAGCCAGCTCCGCACTCGACTTTGTCGTCCCATTTAGAATAGATAAAAGGCATATTCGACTGAAAGGGTTTGTTTTTGACTTGATAGATGATGATATTGTGTACTGTATCATACTATAATCAAAGAGCAAATAAACATATTCGACCATGACTAATCATCAATTTCCCGATATTGATAGTGCTTGTTATTTGCAATACCGTAACTATGCCATTTTTGTATTGATCGCTTTCTAGTGGAGAGGAACAACATGGATCTGGAGTCGTTTTCCGAGCAATGTTGCCAAAAACAGTGCTCCATCGGCGTTTTTATGCACCTCTGCAATAAACACGACCTCCGTCGAAAATAACTGAATTCCGACGTTCAAACAACGAACTACACCCATAAAATCATCGAATTTCGGAATGCTCCGTACTTCCGAAGAGTAGTCTTTAAAATTAGATAGCTTGCATGTTAGGGTTATTTTTTATATGCCTAGTCATGATAGATAAATTTTCGCACGGGAGCTATATAAAACAATTTTTCATGAAAAGTCACCCCAACGTTCATGGCTGTGAGATCGTAGTGCTATGAGCATTTTTATCACCAAAATGACTAATTTGGTTGTGATCTTGATCAATTGTAATTCTGTTTGTTAGAGGTTACAGTATGGCTTAAGTTGGATTCCTCTGTCGTCGTATGGGATCACCGATTTCGTTTTTCCACGGAGCAGCATCTATAACATAGCATTATTTATCTAAGCGATTGTTTACAAAAGATGCCGGAATTGTCCATGTTCGTCTTGATAATTACGGAAGGCCTCCATAGGTACGGTCATTAATGATTTCAATAAAGCAATTTATCTTACACTTGTTCAGAATGACTGCGCCTTGTTATTTAGGTTCATTTTACTGACTGAATTAATTTCATCGTTGACGATATGATTCCCATTTTAGCTAGGATTAGGACGTGTGTAAAGTGCGTTTATACAGCCGTCGCCGTAATCAATTGGAAGAGAAGTAGGTGATTTTAGGTTAGCGAAGGAAAAGTATAGCAACTATCAATATTTAGTTATTATAATATGGGCGATTATAATTTCCAAGGATAACCGCAGCAAATAATTTGCACTAGGTCGTATTTAATGTTTTTTTTCTCAAAGTGGTACTTCGCAGTCCTTTGTCATGTTCTGAGTTAGAAAGCACAGCGGTCAAAATAAGCATTCCAAAAACATGGCGTTTGTTAAAATTGATAGAGCGAAGCCAATATGCTGATGTAATAAATAAGTAACGCTGCTCATGAACAAGCATTCACGCCCTGCGTATTGACCTGTACACATAACGCACATGTTCACGTGTTGACTACATGCATAGAGAGTCAATTGAGAACCGAGAAAAGCTGCTGTAACACCTATTGTAGAAGTCACTATGCTTGCGACCATTTTCTTTTCAAATTTTCTATGAATATAGTTTTGCTTTATCAGATGCAAACGGTTCGTCGTGAGGTCATCATTTTTAGCACGACAATGAATGACCAGAAAATGCTTACGTGTTCATAGATGTTCGTCGCCAGCAGACCACACAAACTTTTGGGTCGTCAGCGAGTGGCAGAGTATTCAATAATGCGAACGGGTCAAAGAAGCGGAAAAGAAAAACGAAAAAAGAGGGAAATGCATAAATGCTGTTAATGCAAAGGGTGAAAACGAGAATAATGGATAGCTACCCCTAAGCTTTGCTCGGGTCGAAAGGATGAGAGAAGCGCCTGCAAGATCAGGAAGCAGCCATATAAGACCGCAAACAGTAATAGTAGTAGAAAGATTGGGTATGGAACGCAATAAACGGGGAAAATCCTCGGTTTAAAACCCGTCGACCGTCCTAAGAAGCTATAGCCTGCATTGAAAGAAGCCGACCGAGCCATTGTGGCTCTCCTGAGATCTAAGAAGCATATCGCCAAAAAAGAGACAAAGTGCAATGGCGAACAGAAGGAGAAGACAGAAACGGAGCGATAAAAACGCCCTGCGGCCCCTTAGATCATACTATTCTCCTTTCAGACTTTGGGACTCTGGCGAAGCCACTCTGAATCGTCCATGTGACGTGACGTATGAATGTTACCTTTCCTCTAGACAGAATCTAAGTAGGCGACGCAGCCGAACGTCAAAGTGTTACTTTGATGTTGCTAGGTCTACGCGCACTGAGAACGGCGGTCGCAATAATTTGCACTGCGGCCGTAAAGATAGCTTGAGTTGTTTTATTCCTCAAACCATAGACATATTGCTAAGGGAAAAAGAACGTCTGCCTGCTTTGGTTATGCGGATCCTTCAAATTAACCTACTCTCCTTCATCACTACTTGGTTACTTTCTTAAAAAGCCTCTTTCTTTTTTTTTTCGAGCCTTTCCTCCCAAGCTCCAGAAGGTCTATGGCTGCTACTGGAGGCCCACACATACGCTTTCCTAAGTTTGTCTCTGGTTGGTTGCCTACTCTAAAGACCACAATCTCGCGGCATTATCTGGGGCCAGACATCCTGGTTCATAGACATTCTTCATATACGCACACACTGACATGCGTCGATTCTGACGCCTACATCACGTTCGTTAGCGGATATTTTTCCACAGTGTCCTACAGTTTCATTCGTTCCCTGGCATTTCCTTCGTGCAACGTCCTCCCAAATTTTTGCTTTTTTCTCTCGTGTAAGTCTATGTGTGCTTCCTTTTTATTCCTATTTATTAATCACACTTTCCACCTCATTAAGCTATGTCCTCTACGGATAGTGCGGCGGATCTTTACAGTCGATGCAAATAAAGGTTTTAGCTCACTCCACGTACGTTCGCGTATACGAAGCTAAAATAAATGTCTGTCTCAAACTGTAGAAATATGTACATAAGTAACAACTACCATAAGATAAGCTTTACCAGTCCCTTTGAAGTTGCACCTGCTAAAAACAGTGTTGAAAACCTTGTTAATTTACATCGCATGCGCATGCATGGTTATTGCAAATATGATTTTTCCATAATAATTCCACTTCATAACTGCACATGCTTATCAACCTCATCAGTGTTAATATACCTCATCGTTTTTACTGTACGTTGGTATGACGTTCGAAGTTAAACTAGATCGCTGCGTCCTCTTCTAAAAAGGCCACTAGTGAGCATGAATATGGCACCGATATATCTTCGCTTTGCTGATGGCGCTTACGTAGCCCCTTGCCTGTGTGTTGGCACGGGGTAAAAGGAGGCCGTCAGACAGAAGCCCCATCTGTTCGTCTAGCATCCGCCTTACTGGTAGGTAGTGTGTCTCGTGACAAAAATGCTCTTCCCTCTTTTCAACCGTAGAAACAGCCACCGCCGTTTCGACCATTCCGATATTCAGCTTATTCAGCTTTGCTCGCATTTTCGTCTGCGGTGCGGCCGTTGAACGGTAAAGTTCCTCAATCTCCTTTTTTTTGGAAGGGTTACTCCGAGCAAAGTGAGCGACTAAAAAAAACCAGAGACGCCAAAGAGGGAGAGGAACTCCTTTTCTTAGTAGTCGGACACTCGCAGATCTTATTCGCAGGAATCCAACGATTGCCATTTTTCATCCACAGGAGACTTCATGCCTTTTCTCTCCTGTCCGTTTCGTTCTCCACCATCCGTAACGTAGATCGGCGACGACGCCTGCTACATCTGCTTAACGCGACGTAACCCTTTCAGTTTCAGCATTCGCCAGCTGCAATAGCAGCGCATGTTCCTTCGCGTGCTAAATAACTCTTTGCCAAATACCTACATATTTTCATCTCTAAACCTGTCAAGCGTTACTAAGAAACTTTTTCCCGACATTGTGCGGCCGATGTGTTCAATACAGTCATCTTGAATAGACCTCCTTATGGTAGCTTTTGATATATGATGACTATAGAATAAATAGCGCATTTTAGTTGCCATTAAAGGTTGCGCCTTGAAACAGGACGTAATTGTGCCGCCGCAATGAAGAGGAGTCCTCTAATTCCTGTTGATATCAAACTAAGAGTGGCTTAAGTTGCTTTTATGAATTTTCCATAAGTATTGGTTCTCCTTCTGTCATTATCAGCTATCGTATTATGTATCATTAAGTAACGTCAGTATCAAATAATTTTGCCTCACGAAAGGGATCCACAAAAAGTTAATAATAACGTTTCACCTTTTGAAATACATCGAGTTCTTTTTATTGACATAAAATAATGCAATAGATAAAAATATAGTATAATTTGTTTATTTACTCCGTTTATTATCATTAAACTAGATATTTCAATTGAAGCTAACATTTAAGGCGGCCAGTGTAACGAGTTCCGTAACGTTCGCCGTGTTAAATATGTGTGTGTGGTCCAAGTGTTTTGAAGTGACCTTGTTAAATGCACAAAGCTGAAACTAGTCCAAGGTTATGTATTGCGACTATCACATACGTTACCGTTCATATATTTTACATGATATCGTTGCGTACACTTATAAAATATTGACATGTAATTCTCATTGAGGTCGTAGTGTCCCTGCGTTTTATAAATGTAGCAGTCGAAGTCGTGCGCTGGGAACCTTCGTATGACATAAAAATCTACTTTCTTCATATAGACCGAGTTACACAGCGTAGTAGGTGTCGTTGGCGGGCCTTATTATTATTTGACAGAACTTAACCTATTCAGTTTGAAAATTGCGCGCGCTATCACATATGAAATCCTAATTTTTTAGAAAAACCAAACGCGATCGCTTAGTAAATCTGTTGACTGATACACCAACGTTTGTCGAGATATCCGAAAAGCGTTCAGCCTTCCGGAAACCGAAGCAAATGGGACATTCAGACAGACAGAAAAGCACATGTGACGATAGCAGATCCTTTGTTCTTCTCGATCCCAGCTAAGAACCGATGGTAAATGGAATCAAACAGGAAAAAATAATCGTCCTATATATGTTCTTATGATTAGTGAGGTCTCGCTCACTGCTACTAAATATAATGATGTTCTTTTAATCACAGAGCCTCGTCTCAGTATATCGGAAAACGTGAACATTTATACATTAACTGCTCACTCATTTAATTCACGTTCCCTTGTCTAACCATCTGTTTACCGCCTACATGGCTCACGCAGCAGAGTGAGTTATCTCACATCTTTGGGACCCGATTGTGAGATAGCCAGGGGAGCACTAAAACAGTGTTTTTCGTTTACATGTAGTTAGCTTTTAGAAGTAGCGTTGGGAATAAACAGCTTTTCTCGCAATTTCTTAAAGTGCGGTCTGTTCGGTCAGTCACGCATCACCTCATCGACGAGGTTAAGGACAGAGTTTCGACAACAGAAGCGTAATGTATTCGAGGTTCGCTCCGAAGAGGCAGTGCGCGCGACCTAGCCTTGCGCCGAGTGATCTGCGAAACCGTTCAACGGAAAAGGTGAACGCTTTGCCTGACGTTTCCCTCAAACGCATCACCTGTCTGTACAGGCTGAGACAACTTGTAAATCTACCAGCCGCTCTCTGTCGGAGGAAAATTTCTCTTGTAGCTGCTGTTTTTCCTGTTGCTATTTGCCATTATTGATCACGGATGAAATGGTGAAATGGATTTGGAAAGTCGAAGGCAGTCTCGAAGCAGGCGAAGCTGAAGCGTTTATGAGGAGCTAGTACACAAACACATACATAACCGAGATCCCATAGATATGGTTCTTAGATGTGTACGGACGATCCATCGTGTTCAACGTAGACAGAACGTGGAATCGTTTTTCCTGCAACGTAGCACCCCATTTGTCAAGTGCTACCTGTAGGTTGGTCTAGAATATTACAGGCAACGTAGTATACTTCAAGCTGCGACAGCAGAAAGTGCACTATTTTAGCGGGAAGGACACATCCATAGTATTTTTTACACCATCTGGCCTTTGGTTC